TGTGGTCAGGAATAACCTGCATTTGATGTTGCCCCGAACACCGCGATAGTCGAGCAGCGCATCAATGTTCTCAATGTACTCGTCAGGGTCGGTTGTTCCGTCGTATGTGCCTAGAGAAGGGGATTTCTCTAGTCCCTTTGGGAGGTGCATGGCTATGATTTCTAGGGACAATGGGCCGCGAGGCTCATTGTCGCTGTTGCTGTTGGTCCAAGAGGGGGAACGTGCGTTACATCCGTAGGTAGGACGGTGGCCACGTCGTGGAGACGGGGTTTATGCTCGACCCTTAGACCTGGGCGGCGAGCATGGAGACTCTACCAGGTGTCTTCTTCGGATCCTCTTGGGCTGCGGAGATTGCTGGCTCTTGGGAGAAATCTGGTCGTGTTTGCGGATGACCATGGTTTCTGGTTCTGGAGGCGTTCGACGGTTCTTCTCGGATGACCATGGTTTCCTCGGTGGAGGGGATCTTGGACGACGGGACTCTTCCGAAGCTTCAATTCTTGTGCTCTGGTTGAGGATAAGGAGGTTGGTCTTGTTGAGAACCTTGAGGAGGGCCGTCATGGTCGAGTCGGCGTTGGGCGGAACAGGGACCGACAGGTGCTGCTGGTCAAGTGGGGCTTCTTCGTGATCGACACGAATAGGGGATGGAGAAGCTGTGACTCCGTCTCTTTGTTGGAGGACGTTGGCGGCATGAGAGGTGGAGACCCCTTCAGCATCAGTCTTGCTGATGGGGAGGAAAACAGAGTTATGAGCATCAAGATTGTTGTTATGGGCAGCCATGATCAGAAAGTTGAAGAATTGTTTTCGTCTTGTGTCTACGAAAAGAGAGAAGACGGGGATAACAAGATCCCCACAGTCAGTGCCATTGATCTTACTGAATGATCAGAATCTGACGGGCAAAGACTGACGGGGAGAAGTGTTGTGACCAAAGACCAAGATGCTTGTGCCCGTAACGACGCCCCAGCCTATGCCAACGGCTAGTTATAGGAACGTCTGCCCGTCCAAACGGCTATTTATGGCAGTTACCTATTCTTCGGGAAACGGTTATCTAGCCCCGAAAATAGGGACCAATGGCCAAGCGCTGGGGGCATTATAAAAACCCTCTCACTTGAGATGGTCAGGTATCTAGTTTCTCACCTTGAAACACATATATTATGTACTCGCTCGCTCTCTTGCTCGTTTTCTTACTTCAGCATCGGAGTGTCTTGCAGGTACACCCCTTCCTCCTCCTTCACACTCAGCATCACAGACGTTCGTCTTTGGCCCATCTCAGATTCTGATCATTCGGTAAGATCAAAAAGACTTTATGAGAATTAAGGCATTCCCTATAATATATCTGTGGAGTGTGATTCAAGAAAGCTAGAGACTTCAATTTTTCCATTTTGTCACAAACGAACGCGAGGCATCTATGAAAATCTTTCGGGAAGATTTAAGGTCTGCCTCAAATACAAAAAATTTCGAGAAAACTTAAGATGTTTGGACTAGAGATGCGAGACGCTTCGTCTCACAACAAGTGTCATATTTAAGATTTTTTATGTTATTTTTTAAGAAGATATTTTTTCTAGGCAGCCAAATATAAGAATTCTTATGAAGTTTGTTAAGAACTGAAAAATCTTTAGAGGTATTTAATGGTTGAAAAACATTTCTAAACACCACAGGATTGTGTGATTAATATATTGAAAAAAATGAGAGATTGGGTCACAAACTGAGTAGAAATAGAAAATGTTCTTAAGAACTTGGAGAACTATTTTCTTTTAGATCATTTGTAATTTCTTGTTAAAGATACTTCTTCAGTAGTGGATCAAAGAGCTCCCCTCTTCTCCGAAGTAGGTCATTTTGGATTGAACGGAATAAAAAATTGTATGTGTGTTGATTCTCATATTTTATGTTATTCTTGGAGTTATGGTTGCTTTGCACTAGTTGACCGATTAAAATTTCTTGAGACTATTTAGTATTGGTAATTTTTCATATACAACAGTTTTGGATTGTGGAAATTAATATACATACAATATTAATTTAACAAAAATGTGCATATGCATCGAGACACGAATCTCAAATGCTGGAAAGCCTAACACAAATGGAGAAGACTGTGATAATAGATAAGGTCAAGAGTGTCATTATCTTGTGTCTCAAAGATAAAGTGTTAAGGGAAGCCGCAAGAGAGAAAATTATGGCAAAAATATGGATGAAGCTTGAATAATTGTATATGGCGAAGTCATTGGCTCATAAGTTATGTATGAAACACCAACTCTAGTCATTTCGGATGGTAGAGAACAAATCCATAATGGATAAATTGAGAATAATTCAAAAAGTTATTAATGAGTTGCAAAATATCGAGGTGAAACTTAATGATCATGATGATGAAGAAAATATTCTACTATTGTTAAGCTCATTAACTAGACTGTGTTAGTCTTTTAAGTATGCAAATATTTATGGTAATGAAGACATTATCACCTTTGGGGATTTTCTATTGGCTATAATAACGAAGGAGTTATTCAATATGAAAGAGTTAAAGGTTGAGAATAGTGGAGAATATGTAAATATTTTAAGAGAGAGTTGTGAGAGTATGGGAAACCAAAATTGGAGAAAATCTAGATTTAAGTCCAAATCTAATGGGTTTAATAATTCAAAGTACAAGTGTTTTTCTTGTCATAAAAGTTGTCACTTTAAGAAGGATTGTTTAGAGAGATGAAGTAAGGGTGTTATTCTATTCAGATTGTGGTTGCCTCAAATGAGGATGGTTATAAGTGTGTCAATGAGGTAGTGGTAACAAGTTTGGATATGAAAATGAGGTAGATCATGGATTCAAGATTATATTATCAAATGTTTCAAAGGAAGGAATACTTTGATACTGTAGAGCTAAAAAAGGTAGAGATGTTCACTTGATAATAATAAGACATGTAAGGTTCATGATGTTGGAGATGTTTGACTCAAGATGTATGATAAATGTGATTTCCTTGTATGCAACATGAGATATGTTCTCGAACTTAGCAAAAACTTTTGCACTAGAATTGAACATGGAATGTTGAAAGTTTTCCATGGTACATTGATATTTTCTAAGGGTTCTAAAATGTGTGATTTGTATAATTCCACTATTATTATCATTAGCTAGTCAATGATTTCATAATAAAACCAAACTACGGAATTCAATATTATGACATGTTAATGAAAGATGTTTGGATGAACTAGCTAAGTAAGGGTTGCTAGGAAGTGAGAAACTAAACAAATTAGAATTTTGTGATCATTGCATAATAGACCAACAATATAGAGTGAAGTTTGAGAGTAGTATATATAATTATAGTAGACTCTTTGAGTATATTTACTTGGATCTTTGAGGTTCGGCATGTGTGGCAACGCACATGGTTGATTTATATTTCTCACTATAATTGATGTTTTTTTTTAAAATGTATGCGTTTGCAATTTGAAATATAAAAGTGATACATTTGAAAAAGTTTAAGTTTTGAGATATAATTATAAGAAATCAATTAGGAAATAAACTGAAATAACAATGGCATGAAGTATGTTTCAAAGCAGTTTAATGATATTTTCTATAAACAAGGTATAAAACGTCATAGAATCATAGTTGGCACACTACAACAAAATGGCTTAGATAAAACATGAATATGACCATTTTGTACGGGATAAGTTGTGTGTAATTGAGAGATGATTAAGAGTTTTTAGTGTGAATTTGTTGCTACTGGAGCTTATTTGATCAACACATGTACATCCACAGAAATAGGTTTTAAGATACAAATGGAAGTTAAGAGTGGAAAAATAGTAAGCCCCTTTAATTTGAAGATTTTTAGAGCTTTGGAGTTTGCACATATCAAATCAGACATGCTTCATGATAGGGTTATGAATGGTGTTTTTATATTTTATCCTTAAAGTGTAAAGAGATACAATTTGTGACCAATGAAACTTAGAGGATCAAAATTTATCATAAGTGATACTCTTATTTTTTATGAGACTCGTATGAGTATGAGGTGAAAAGATATGGAAATTCAAGACTTAGAAACTAAGATGGAGCAGACTCAATTTAATTTAATAGACACTGATTCAACAAAATAATTTGATCGACATTGATTCAACAAAAACATGAAGAAGGAAAAAAACCCTAAGATGAACTTTTACTTCCTAAGAACACCTTCAACTATTGGTAGAGTTCACAACTATTTTCCAAGTGCTAGTTAGTCACACTAAATTATGAGTCACTTTCCATCTATAACAACTTTGCATATAGAACTAAGTGATATCACACTTTTGGACCTTTATTTTCTCTACATCATCAATAACAAATACAGTAACTGTAACAACGATGGAGTCAAAAAATAGAACCCTCCCATTCATGCACAGAAATCTGACTCCTAAGCATAATATGTCATGTGTGATGGGAACACATATCTAGTAGCCTTAAAACATGTCACTAGGAACCTCACAAAAATACACACACTCTCATGTCCTCTTCCTCTGTCTCTTTTTTGTCTTCACTCTCTCATCACGAGCCACCAAACTCACTTATTTACCTGCTTTTTTTTATATTCACAAAAAAGTTCACAGGTATTGGATCTAGTGTAGAAGCCATTAAAACCATTAAAACCATGTTCAGCATCAAAGAACCTTACACATGTGCACAGAGTATGTACTTAATCACTTATTTTTATGATAAAATCATTTATAAAAATTGATTTTTTTTCTAAGTCATTTACCTTTTACTTCACTTTTCTTAATTATTCCAACCAACATGATCCTAACAAAAACAAAAAGAAAACCAACAACAATGTTTCATGTCACCATCAATCTCACCACCTTACTTACCTTCCCAATCCAATTGTCGTTCATAATTTCCCTCTCAACCAAACTCATCCTTTTTCTTTCTCTTCTCTCTTTTTCTTCTTCTTCCATTTTTCACCACACCCTTTACTTAACCAAAACCACTTCACATTCAGATCCTTTCAGCTTTATTTAGAACCAACCCTTTATTTCTTTCTTGGTAATTAACGCAAATGACTCGCCTTTTTCGATCCAAATCATGCGGTGTAGCAGGTTTCAGCGTATCTGAGTTCAACACTGTTGCTCAACAAGGAAAGGAGAAAGAAGAAAAAGAAGAAGAATTGGAAAGTGATGATGACAATGATGATGATGATGATGATGAGGAGGAGGAGGAGAAGTACTCAAGCAACAATGTTTCGAGACATTTCACGAAAGGATCCAACAACAATCATCAAAACCAGTTTGCAATATTGGATATTGTTGTTGCTGCTCTTAAGAAATCGCTTGTTACTTGCAGTGTGGAAAGAGAGGATGTTTCTTCCTTAGATATCAGCTGGCCAACAGAAGTTAGACACGTGTCACATGTTACTTTTGATAGGTTCAATGGCTTCCTTGGTTTGCCTTCTGAGTTTCAACCAGAAGTTCCTACAAGAGTACCTAGCGCAAGGTCAATTTTGTATATCTATATTGTTCATAGAACATGAAATTTATGTTTTGTTCAGTTTTGTTTGGATTCTTAAATTATGTTTTGCTTTAGATTTTGTGTAGATTTTCTAATTTATGTTTTGTTCAATTTTGCTTGGATATTTTGATGAGAGCAAGGTTTTAAATAACGGTTAAAGGTTTTCGCAATTTTGGTGGGTACAAATGTTGCGACACTGATTGCGTTTGTTGCGATGTGAATTAACAATAATTTGTTCTTTATCATAAGAACAACGGTGGAGAACGGGATCGGTACTTTCAGATACTGTTTTGTCACGGCCGTTTTTCCTATATAAGACCGTTTTTTAAAACCTTGATGAGAGTGTGTGTCATTTAGAAGCAATGTAAATCTCAGTACAATGTAAGGTTTTCATTACTTTAAGGTTTTCTGTGTTTTTGTTCTAATACTGTCTTAAAATCATGCAGTGTGAAGGTATTTGGAGTTTCTGCCAAGTCAATGCAGTGTTCATATGATGACAGAGGGAATAGTGTCCCAACAATTCTGCTGAGGATGCAAAAGCAATTGTACTCCGAGGGAGGTCTTCAGGTATGTTTTATTTGTGTTGGATTAGTTGTTAAGTTCGTTTGAATCGACGTTACTTACATACGAATTTTAAGGTCTAATTTCGTGTTTTCGGTGGACGAAGGCAGAAGGAATATTCCGTATTACTGGTGAGAATAGCCAAGAAGCGTTCGTTCGAGATCAGTTAAACAAAGGCGTAGTTCCAAACGGAATCGATGTTCATTGTTTATCGGGATTGATCAAGGTAGTTAATAGTAATTATCGAGATGTCTAATTCGATGACTACATCGACGTTCATTTTGTCTAATTGAAGTTTGAAATTTGCAGGCTTGGTTTAGAGAGCTTCCAACTGGTGTACTTGATTCCCTCACATCGGAGCAAGTGATGCTATGCAACACAGAAGATGATTGTACAAACCTTGTCAAGTTACTTCCTTCCACAGAAGCCGCTCTTCTCGATTGGGCGATAAATTTGATGGCTGATGTTGTTGAGTATGAGCAGTTCAATAAGATGAATGCGCGCAATGTAGCTATGGTTTTCGCGCCTAATATGACACAGGTTCGTTAACAATAGCATTTCAAGAAAATTTATATTTTTGCTTATTCTTTAGTGATTATGTTAAATTGTTTCTGACTAAAAATGAGTTGAAAGTAAAGTAATTTATGTACGAATTCGTGTAAAAGTGTCTTGGAACAACGAATTCGAGATTAAAAATCAACTTTAAATGCAAAAACTCAAAGTTCTAACGTCAAGTTAGAATCGATTCAGGAGGCAGAGTCAATTCTACTCGAAAACGTCCAAAAAAGTTAAAATCAATTTTGCCGTCTCTAAAAGCCAACTTTCTTTTGTAATGCAGATGGCAGATCCTTTAACTGCATTGATTCATGCAGTACAAGTTATGAACTTCTTAAAGACATTGATTTTGAAGACACTTCGAGAACGAGACGAATCGATTTCAAATTCAAGATTGCTTTCAAATAGCATGGATTTCACCTCCTGCAAAGATGAGTTTCCTCCCTTCAACTTCAACCGCGAGGAATCATCGTGTGAACTAACCGAGGATGATTGTGACAAAAAGGCATCAACTACCAAAAGAAAATTCTCAAGGACTTCTACCTTAGGAAGAATAGAATGGAGTGTAGAGAAACTCCGAAGCTCCGAGGAAAAGAGAAATCGTGACGAGGTATTCAAATCTTTTTCAGCTGATAGCGCGACTTCTACATTTGACAGTGGTCCGTTAGAAAGTAGTTATAGTTATCGACGTAAATATGACAGCGAACATTGGTTGCGATTGAGAAATGGCGTGCGCAAGTTATGCAGGCACCCGGTATTTCAATTGAGCAAGCCGTTTAAGAAGTCGGCAAGTCTTGGCATTGTAAATACTAGGGATGCAGGAGGAGGAGAAGCTTGGGCTTGAAATTGCATGGTTACAAGGTTTTAATTCCTAACATCACCGCGACTACAATTGCAGCCGCAGCTGCAACGGCTGTATTTAGTCTTAGTTTCACGCAATGTCAAGAATCGTAGCGCAACCGCGGTCGAAGCATGCATTATAGATGTGTGTGTGTGTGAAGTTGTACTTAGTATAAGCATAGTTTCAGTTGTAACATCTGTTTGAAAATGTTAACAAATGTTCTTGCAAATGATTGTTCAATAGAAATCTTAATTTCTTCCCCTAAACAAGATTATCAAAATGTTTTCATAATTGCAACTGTCCACATAAGTGTGTCTGCATAACTGGTTTAACTAATGCTAGATTGCAACATGATCTAATTCATTCTATCAAATTTCTCACTGGTCTAAATGATTCTTTTGATCTAGTAAGATCTCAAATCTTGTTTATGGATCCTTTTCCTTTGACTAACAAAAAAAACTTCCATGATCATTCAACATGAAGACCTCTTCATGTCACACAAAATGATGATTCAAAAGTTTGGATAAATACTTTTGATTCTAATTCTTCTCAAGGTTCAACATGGTGAATTTCTACACAATTAGTTCATGGACACAAATATTTTCTCACTACTCTAAATGATTATAGTTGTTGTGTTTGGATTATTCTGTTAAATATTGTTTCATGGTTTCGAACATCAGAAAAAAATTATCAAACTACACAACGGCTCTAGAATAAAACAGTCAAATTCAACTGTACAATAACCACTTGTAAAGTAGATATCGTTATAGAAATATATCCTCTGATGGTGTTAAAACTAAATCCATATCTATATTCAAATAATTAACTGGTTTATTTAAATAACCGGATTTGGATATAAATATGGATTATTTAATAAAATCAATTGATGATGGTGTAAAAAACCACTCGTAATTTTTGACAAAAACCAGTCTTTGATGGCGCAAAGAATCCACTCAAAAACATTAAAAAAAAATTTAAGAAAAAATGGAATTGAGAGAGAAGAGAGAATTTGAAATACGGAATTTTGAATTGAAAAATCTAAGATGAGAAGATCTCTATTTATAGATGAGGATTTGACCCGAATGTGAGATTATGGAGGAAAGTAGAGAAATTAACCTGCCACTCCCATTCCATACCGGGAACCTCCCATATTTCTAATATTCCAAAAATACCTTTATTAATATTTACTTAAATTTTTTACCATTTTTTCCAAAAATTTTATTTATTTTTTACTTAAGATTTTAAAATTTTTTATAGTAGTTTAAAATTTTCGGTACGCATTTTTATACAAATTTTGAAAATTCATGTGTATACACTGAAAATTTTAAAAAATATGGTATACATTACCGAAAATTTATAAATATCCAGTATTTTATACCAAAAATTTGAAAATATTTGGTGTGTAACATAGACTTTTGGTAACAATACCTAGAATTTTAAAATTTTCGGTACCAACCAATTTCGGAAATTTCGCCTGCAACTTAAGTTTCTGGTAATAGAGCAATAAGTCAAAACATGCTTTCTTTGTGCTGTCTGGATCCGGTAGGGTCATCTACGGATTTGTGTAGTGATTGGGCACAGTTCTTCACCACAAACAAAGTATGTTTTTTATGTAACAAGTTAAAATTTAATATTTTTCGTTGCGTTATATGATATTGATATTATACTTTTTATGTAACGTAAGCGACAAATATTTGAGGGCCGAGATGAAGTATTAGTCTAGACACAACATATTGACAAGCAACACGGTATTATAGTTGTGACTGTTTGTTCTGATACGACAAATGGTCAGCGAGGTAGGAAAGATAAATTGATTATGGATTGTGAGAGAGGAGGAAATGATAAAATGAAAAATACATCTGAAAGCAGTAAATCTTCAGATGACATTTATAGTATGAAAGTGAAATGTCCTTTTAGACCGAGATCTTCGTCGAGTGGTATTGGTTGGAAGGTGATGGTTAGGTGTGGGCTTCACAGTCATAAACTATCTAAGGATTTAGATGGCCATGATATATTAGAGAAGACCCAAATGTTGTTGATGTTATATTCTGAACACATCCTAATTCAGTGAAGTTGTTGAATATGTTTCACTTGGTATTGATTTTTTATTGTACATACAAAACAAATAAGTAATGTGCATCTTGATCATACCTTGATAGCATTTTGACATACTTTAATTTATTAGATTTTTTATTATTTGAATCGTGAACATACAAGTACCGGTTAGCCCTACTTGAGATTGTTGATGTTACGTCAACAAAGTTGACGTTTTCGGTTGAGTGTGCCCATTTGGAACATGAAAAGGAGGATAACTTCACATGGACCCTTGAGAAGCACAAAGATTTGTTTTCTTCTAAGAAATTTCTACTGAATGTTATTGTGACGAACCGAGAACTTGCGTTGATGAATGCAATTGAAGTTGTGTTTCTAAATTCACCACATTTGTTATGTTTGTTCCATATTACCAAAAATGTTAACATGAAATGTAAGGAATATGTTAAATCAGAAAGAAATGAACATGTAATGGATCCATGGAACAACATCATGTATGCTAATAGAGAAACTGGGTATCTCGCATATTTGAATCACTTTGAGACTGTTTGTACTGATATTCCTTTGTTTGTTTAGTATGTGAATGAAACTTGGTTGACACCTTATTAAGAAAGGTTTGTGGCTGCTTGGACTAACAGATTCACTCATTTAGGGAACACAACAACAAACAGGTACACCAAACTTCTTTTCGATGTTATTACTAAGCATAATTTATCATGTTGGTTTATTATAATTTAATTATTGTAATTTAGGGTAGAGTCTGCTCATTGGAGACTGACAAACATGTTGACTATAAGTCGGGGAGATTTATGCCAAAGTTGAGTTGTTGTGAACACCATGTTAAAGTTGCAGCTAGGTTCAATCAGAGTGTCGTTTTAAAAAAGTATTGTCAACATTGAGCATCAGTATAACACTTCAGTCTATGTCAACTTGCACGACCTTGTTTCAAGCCAGTGTATACAACACATAGAAAAGGAGCTAGAAAGGATAAATTTGTTTGGTACAAGCAAGGATATTTGTGGTTGCTTCACTAAAACTACATATGGGTTACCTTGTGTGTGTCAACTTACTGGTTTCCAAATACAAGACTTGTCATTTCTTTTAGAACCACTTCATGTTTTATAGAAGAAATTACGCATTCAAGAGCATGCTAACGGCCATGACGATAGTAGCACAACGCTAGAATTAGAGGCTGAGTGTGAAGAGTTGAAGTCATATTTCAATTCTTTGGATATTGTAGGCCAAAGGGTGTTGAAGAAAAAGGTTCTAGAACTAACACATCCATCCATAACTTCTATGTGTCCACCATCGATGAAGTACAAAGTGGGGAGTTGAGAAGATTAGAAAGGGTGAAGAGAGTGATGTACATTGTGATCCATCACAGTGGGAGTATAGTGAGGGCTCGTAGAGGAGTCATACTACAAAGAGATCAAGCACAGAACCAACAGGAAGTCAACCTTCTAGTATGTCAGGTCAAAGTCAAACGTCCACTGCATCTTCGAGACATCTTTACTTGTCTCAGTTTCCTGGTTTCTTGCATCCATACATTGATGACATTATTGATGTGGGTGATGATGAAAATGTGTTAGAACAAGATTTTGGTTCTGCATATAATCTCTACTTCGACTGCTTCTGAAGAAATATTAGTTTTTTTGATGAATGTTGAATGTCTCTGAAGAAAAAGAAAGTTGTGTGCTTCTCAAATAAGCTTTGCTTCCAGTCAAAGTTTCTGAGTTCTAAACATATGTATGTTCTATTATGATAATCAAGCTTCTGACTCTGACAGAATCATTCTAAAAAGATTTAAGTAAAGACAACTTCTGACTCTGAAGACTCTGATACTTCTTGGCACATTTATCTTCTGGACTCATCATCACTTAACAAACAATATAAAATTTAATATATATATATATATATATATATATATATATATATATATATATATATATATATATATATATATATATATATATATATATATATATATATATATATATATATATATATATATATATATATATATATATATATATATATATATATATATATATAACAATACTTAATCAAAACAATAAGAGAAATGTCAAATAAAAATAAAAAAAAACATTAAAAAAATTACTGTAGCAATGTTTCAGTGGAATTTGATTTATTGGCGACATGTGAATTCATCTATAGAGGGAGTTATGTATGGAAAATAACTGATGTGTGAGGGTGCATATGACAGAGGTAACAGTGAAAACAATGGAACAAAAAAAATCACATTGCTTTTGAAGAAATAGAAAGATTAGCTAGTGGTCTTTTTCAAAATGAAAGGTCCAGTTGGTTTATCAATTTTTCAGTGGAAAAACAAGTGAATTCTATATGTGAGATGTGGGAGCATGTTATATGATAGCAGGTATGTTTTGTCAAAATGAAAGGAAAGATTCCTATTGGTGTGGTAGTATGTATCGAAGGAGAGGAATGTGATGAACAATGTTAAGATAACATGTTCAACCCAGAAGAATGAAGAGGTATGCTTTCTTAAAAAAAATTGCAAGTTCTAATCTTTGTTGTTCCTTGTTGTTTTACTTTATTTTCTTTGTTAACCTAAACCCTTGTGTGTTTCTTGATAAGGAAGAAATTGTTTATACTTTGTTTAAAGGTATCTGATTCACAACAGAGTGAATAATAGAAAATCAATACATGGATGACCTATGACTTGGTTGGTTGATAAATATAAATAGATTAAGAAGGGTATATGAGACTAGTTACTGAAGCTTATTTTGATATTGTACTATTCTTGAGTCATGCATTATATAAGATTTATTAATATAGTCATTGTCTTATGTCGTTATGGTAAATTCGACGCTTTCGGGCCTTTGTGGCAGGAGTCTTTGTGAAAAGTTGATGCTTTTCGGGCTTCTGTGACAGGAGTCTGTGTGGCAGTTTTCCCATTGGAATAAGTTCATTTA